AGTGTTCCATGATTCATTGTTTGTGCATAACACCCAGTGCTCCATGCAGAATGTGCCCTCCTCAATACCCACCACCAGGCTAACCCTCCCACCCCCCTCCCCCGACAAAAAAAAAATTTAAAAACCACCCTGCTTACCTTTTCTAGGTTACTTTGGTTATAGGCTTCCTTTTTTTTTTTAAAGATTTTATCCATTTATTTGAGAGAGAGAGCACATGTGCACGCATGAGTGGGGGGAGGGGGAGAGGGAGAAGCAGGCTTCCCGCCGAGCAGGGAGCCCACACACCAGCTCGATCCCAGGACCCCAGGACCATGACCTGAGCCGAAGGCAGACGCCCAACTGACTGAGCCACCCAGGTGCCCCTAGGCTTTCCTTTTGACACAGTTTGACTACATGGTAGCACTTTGACATTGATGTTTCACAAAAGCTTGTTCAGAGTCTCAGTTATTTTTTAAAATTCCTCTTTAGTAATGTATTCTTAATATAAAACACATCCACACACACACACATAAAGAAAAAAAGGGATAATGTTTCCTAGAGCAGACACATGGGGGAAGAATTCTTTGTTCAGTATGAAGACTCAAAACCGTGTGTTTGCTTAATAAGGCCTAATTTTTTGCTAACTTGTTAAAAGCTCTTTTTTTCCTTCCAATCTGTGGGACTGATAGCTGTCGACTTGCTGGAGAAGATGCTTGTATTGGACTCAGACAAGAGAATTACGGCAGCCCAAGCCCTCGCACATGCCTATTTTGCTCAGTACCATGATCCTGATGATGAACCAGTGGCTGATCCTTACGATCAGTCCTTTGAAAGCAGGGACCTCCTTATAGATGAATGGAAAAGTAAGTCATAAGAGCAGGATTAACATCTAGTGTGAGGACTTAGATTTAAAAATCTTCCTTAGGTGAGCCACTAACCAGAAGCTGTGGGGAAAATAGAATTTCTGGTTACAACCAACTTGTTAAAACTGGTAACTAGTGTCTCTGATGCAGAATGGGTATGTTCTTCTCATGGAAACTGTCTGTTGTAGATGAGGACACTCTCTGGACCTTTGAGGTACTTATGTCTGGTCTGATTTTACACACAGCCCCTTACATCTGTATAGAGCCTCGAGGTTCTCAGAATGTGCATTTACAACATCTGTCTGAGATAAGTAGGGAATAAGGTATTTTTATAGTTTTACAATCGATAGAACTCTAGAATTATAGTTTTACAATTGATAGTTTATTCTTGTCTCTTACCTTAGACCTAGTTAGGGACACAGCCAGAAGTGGAACCTATGTCTCCTTTATGTCCAATTTCAAATTCTTTCCATAAAACATACATTCAGAACTCTAGGTAGATCCCTAAAGCCAGAATTATCTGTTGCTGTAGCTTGTAGAAGTGCTCTGTTATTCCTGAGCACCTTTTCCAGAGAGCTTTAAAAAGGAGGCACTGCTGAATGAAACAAGTAAGTAAAAATAGTTCTTTTTTGTGTATCCTTGAACTTCTCTGTAATCACATACTCCATGAGGATATCACACCTAAGCAGTGAGGCGGTTATTTGAAGTAATCCATCAGACCACTAGCCTGGACAGGAGGGAAGGACCTTGAGCTTAGAAGTTAGAGTACGTACCAGCGAAGAGCGTAGTCTGAACTCTCACATCCTACCTTTCTTTCCTGATTTTTAGGCCTGACCTACGATGAAGTCATCAGCTTTGTGCCACCACCCCTTGACCAAGAAGAGATGGAATCCTGAGCACCTGGTTTCTGTTTTGTTGATCCCACTTCACTGTGAGGGGAAGGCCTTTCCATGGGAACTCTCCAAATATCATTCAAGTGCCTCTTGTTGCAGAGATTTCCTCCATAGTGGAAGGGGTGTGTGTACGTGTGTGCGTGCGCGTGTATGTGTGTATGTGTGTGCTTCTGTGCGTGTGCATGTGTCTGTCTTTGTGGGAGGGAAACTATGATCACAGTGACTTTACGTGGAGTCACAGAAGCTGCGGGGCAGCCCCTGCTTGCTCGTTGTGAGAGTCAGCCCAGGCAGGCAAGAGCTACCATCTTGTCAGGGTTTGTTACGTGCAAAAGAAAAAACTTTAAACAGCCCAGATCCCAGTCATGCTTTTGCCATTTTGGCCTTTCCCACAGCCCTGCCTTGAGGTGGGGGGGTGTAGACCCACCTACATCCTGTAGTGGCACAGAGAGAGGGCGCGCACCTTCTGGCTGCTTCGGAAGCCGTCCCTCAGCGACGGCGTGTGGCCAAAAAGGACCAACTGGCTTCTGTGCACTAGTCTGCGATTGATTTGCTTAGTATGATTCTCAGAACTCAGCAGGTATGTCCGAAACTGTAAATATGCTTGTGCCTTAAGAGGAGAGAAGAAAGTGTAGATAGTTGAGACAGCGCGGGAGATGGCGTGCTGAGCCAGGCAAGCAGTCAGGCCGTCGGCCGGCCGCTGACGAACCGGAAGTAACCAGGGAGCCCTTGGCGCTGGCGTGTGTGCATGTGTGCACATGCGTGTGTGTGCTCCCCACCCCCGCTCGCCCCCCCACCTCCAGTGCAAAGGTTTCTTGCGTAGTAGCCCCAGCAGGCAGAAGCCGGTTCTTGCTGTCAGTGTACTTCCTGTGTGCTCTTTATTCCCAGCAGAGTGACGATGTGTTTTGCACGTCTTGCTATTTGAGCATGCACAGCTGCTTGTCTGTTCTCTTCGGGAGGCCCTGGTGCCAGGCAGGTTTGCCAGTGAAGACTCCTTGGGTAGTTCAGAGCCCACGGCACCTCGGCTGATGCCACGGGCAGGTGACATCATCCTCTCTCCAGCCCCAGTGCTATTTTGTGTTGAACACAATTGATACTCCAGGTGCTTTTGATGTGAAAACTATGAAGAAATGGAACAGATGGGTGTATAGCATTTTCATTCTTGCCATCTGGTTTTCGACAAACTATTTTTGGGGAGCCATCACGGGAAAGATCAGGGCTTTTCCCGGGAATATCTCAGACTTTGAAAAACAGTTGTTCTCTTCACTCCCAATAGCCAATGCTAAGAAATGCTGAAAATCAAAGTGAACAATAAAAGGTCATGAGGCCAGAAACTCCTTTTGCTATCTTCGTCTAAACATGGTTATTAAAAAAAGTAATGAGGTGTCTTTTCCACCCTTCTTTGGAAAAGGGTCTTCTTGGCAGCTTAACATTGACTTCTTGGTCTTGGTTTGGGGAGAGAGAAATTTTGTTTCAGAATTTTGTATATTGCAGGAATCCTTTGAGAATGTGATTCCTTTTGATGGGGAGAAAGGGCACATTATTCTGATATTTTGTATTTTCAACTTTATAAAGATGAAATATCCTCAGGGGTGGAGAAGAGTTGTTTTCGTAATTTTCTGAATTGCAAACGTCTCGTGCCACATAAGGGCCCATGTATTTAAACCTCTTGTGAAATAAGAAAGTGTAAAGCCACTTCCACTCTTAGGTGTGTGACAAAATCTTGTATTTGGGACAAGGCATATCCATTTCTCTATCCCAGTGCAGTGGTACTTGCGCTCCAGAGGGATGAGGTAGGACCCCTGAGTCAACTGGAGCAAGAAGGAAGGAGGCAGGCTGACTGTGATTGCGCCTCACCTGGGATTCCCCCCTGCTTTAAAGGAAAATGAACGCAAAGGCCTCATCTCCTTTATATGCAGTTCAGATCCTCACGATCCACAGCAAGATGAATTTTATCAGCCATGTTTGGTTGTAAATGCTAGTGTGATTTCCTACAGAAATACTGCTCTGAATATTTTTTCATAAAGGTCTTTGCACATGGAATTGTATATGCATTAGGAGGCTGAATGTTCCGGGAGCCTGGACTCAGCTGGAGCCCGTGGAAGAGCTCCTTGGTTTCTGAGCATCATGCTCCCATCTCCTGATTTCTCTGAACAGAAAGCAAAAGAGAGAATGAGGGAAACTGCTATTTTATTTGTATTCATGAACTTGGCTGTAATCAGTTATGCCATATAGGATGTCATACAATACCACTGGTTAAAATAAAGCCTATTTTTCAAATTTAGTGAGTTTCCCAAATTTATTTTATTTTTATGTTGATTGTTTTTTATTTAGTGCACAATATGGCATTATAGAGATGTTCTTTCAGTTGTGGCCTGGCATATGTTTCTGATAGATCTTAATATTTACTCCTAAAATTTAGAAAACACTTTAACAGATTGTACACTTTATGGTGAAGCAGATCTGAGTCTTTGATGTAGATGGGTAGAGCAAATAGCAAATAAGGTATAACGCAGCAGGCCGAGTGTTACTACACTTGGGTGTCAGAGTGGCCTAGGACAGGGGTCAGCAAACAGTGGCCCAAGAGCCAGATCCAGTCTACCATCTGTTTCTGTATAGCCCGCTAAAAATGGTTTTTACATTTTTAAATGGCAGAAATCAAAAGGACGGTATTTTTGTAGTGTGTGAAAAATAATGTAAAATTCAAATTTCAATGTCTATAAATAGAGTGTTACCGGAACACAACCACACGCTTGTTTACGTATTGTCTCTGGCCGCTTTTGTGCTACAGTGACAGTTGAATAGTTGCAGCAGAGACCGTATGGCTTACAAAATCGAAACTATTTACTCTCTGGCCCTTTACAGAAAAAGTTTGCCGACCCCTGGCCCGGGACTTCAGTTTCCTCATGTGTAAGATGAAGTTTGTTTAGATAGTTGCTTGGCTACTTTTCAGCTTTGACATTCTAAGACTATCTGTACAAAGTATATTTTTATTTGAAAATTGTCAGAGAGAAGATTGTATGAATACATACATATGTACAATGTTTATAGACTCTGAAGCAAATGTGTCTTATGACTCTCTTATCTTACGGCCCTTGACAATATTCTTCAAAACTACAGAACTGCACCACAGAATTAAAGGGCCACAAGGTCTCATGGCTGCTTTCAGGGCCCGTGTTGGTGTGCTTCCTTTCTCAGTGGCCTAGGAATGCTAACAGTGTCCCAGGGTGGATTGTGAGGCCCCGCCTCTGAGGCTATCGAGAGTGTGCAGCTGGGCGTTTTGTCCTGTGGTGTCTGGGCCCAGGCTGGCAGCTGGGAATAATGGCAGAAGGCAAACTAAGCACAGACTCTTTCCTTCATCCTGTCCTCATTAACTTCATAAGAGGGTAAAAGAAAAGGGACCCAGTTGTCACATGTGGTATATCAACCCCCGTAAGGATCAGACGGCTGTAGGAAATATTTCGCCTTCACATACCAGGCATGAAGGCCATGACCCAGCCTTCCTCCGGGGCTTCTGAGTGCAGGCCCTGCTTATTAGCTCAAGGAGAACGGACACCAGAAAAAGCTCACCTAAAGTGAATCCACTTAAAATGGGGACCAGAATTGCATAGTATGTGGTGGGGATTGGAGGAGAGAGGAAGTCTGATTGGGACTGTCATGAAAACGGAACAAAATTATAAAAGCATATTCATAATTTCAGACACAGTTTTGTAATGAACAAAGAACAAATGAAGTGTTTCTCAAGTGACACCGCGTCTCAGACTGCAATATCCTTCCTGTTTTGATTTTTGTAGCATAATCATGGGGGAACTTATTGCAAAAATATTTGAGGTCTTCCTCAGTTTTCCTAAGGGCCTCATTCTTTTGATATTCACATTGTTCTTTTTTATAAGTGTCTATTGGTGATTACTTTATCACCTCCCCCTTTTTATTGTTGTCTGGTCTGAGTCTGCCAGATCCACATTTTTGAGATCTAAGCAGTTTTCTAGCATTATTTACCAAGTTTATCAAATCTACCGTCTTTTCAAGATTTGCAGTTACTGCAATTTTAACCTGCACTGTATTTGTGTCATTGATCATATGCTTATAATACAGTTAGAGACTAGCAGAAGACTAGAATGGGTAGGATAGACACTCTGGGTTCAGATAACTTATGAAGCAAGGAGGGACTAATGTTATAAGTAGTCTATTCATTAGTGAATGTTTTTGTGTGACAACTTTCACTTTTCTGTACAATCTGATAGCTACGAGGACTTGCCCAACAAATATGCAAATGAAGACCTTTTTTTTAACTTATAATACAGATACATTTTAATATACGTATACTTTAAACTTAGCATTTACACTTCTCAGGACTTAGAGGCATCACAAGTTCACGATGAAAAGGTAAAAGGCTTTTCAGCGTCTTGTTTTTTTGTTTTTGTTTTTAAGATTTTGCTTATTTGAGAGAGAGCAAGCACGAACAGGGGGAGGAGCAGAGGGAGAGGGACGAGCAGACTCCGCACTGAGCCCAGAACCAGATGCAGGGCTCGATCCCACGACCCTGAGATCATGACCTGAACCAAAATCAAGAGTTGGTTGCTTAACCAACTGAGCCACCCAGGCGCACTTTATAATAGCAAAATACTGGAAGTAACCCACATTTCTGTCATTGAGGACTTGACTAAATAACATGGTTATCTTACAGTGGAATACCATATATCCAGGCATGGATACATGTGCAAGATATATTAGGAGGGAGAGAAAGTACATGGCAAAGTGTAGTATACCATCCTCACTAATAGAAAGATATGGCTAGGAAGAACCTAAAGGAACACACACCAAACTCAGCAACCATCTCTGCGTAGTGGGATTATAGGAGGCTCTAACTTTGTGCAGTTTCTGTTGTGTTTTGTCATAAAACAATGATTTCTTTTGTAATCAGAAAACTTTTAAAAAAAATTTTTATAAAGATTTTTTTTTTTGTCTGCGTGAAATGGGGAACCATTCCCCAATTTCAGTTTTGCCAGGGTCAGAGCCCAACTTTCCAAGACAGAAAAACACTTGCTAGAAAGGAGTCGCACTCAGCTGTTGGGCCTCTGACAAGCAGAACACCACCACTCCTTTGTAGCAGGATTCTCCCCCAAGCTGGGAGGGCCTGGCAGTTTCTTCCCCAATAGAAGAATATATTTTATGGATCTGAAGCCGGATTTTTCAACTTTTGGCACTCTTGACATCTTGAGTTGGATTGTTACATGTGAAGGCTGACCTGTATGTTGTAGGTGGTTAAGCAGCAAGATGACAGTGGCGTACATACTCCCTTCACCCAGCTCTGACAGCCAAAGATGTCTCCAGACATTGCCAAACGTCTCCTGGTGCAAAGTCACCCCTGGCTGAGAACCATTGATCTAAAGCTGAGACACCTCAGGGTGTCCCACTGGCTTGGTCAGTAGAGCAGGTGACTCTATTAACTTGGGGTCATGAGTTCAAGCCCCACATTGGGCCTAGAGCTTACTTCTTAAAAAATGTGTTTTTGGGGTTTTTTTAATAATAAACCTGAGACACCTCTAGTCTTGCAGAATAACAAAGACTCTTTTCTTGAAAAAATAATTGAAGGTTAACACCTACTAACTTGTTCTCACTTAAAGACGTAGGAAAGGCCTTTTTGAGGACTGGAGTATATCTTCTTTGGAGAAAAGGAAGATGTTAGTTCAGAAGAAAAGTATGCTTGATACTGGATTGAGGCTCTTACATTTTTCCGAAAAAAAGAAAAAGGAAGTGGGTGTCAAGTGAATAAAATTATTCTTTGTTCAGAAGCGTTTGGTCCATTGCCACAGCCGGAACATTTAGTAATTAAACTGGGGCATGACCGCACAATTTTCTTAGGCACGTGATGGGTTACCATGGAAAGAATACTGGGTTTTGAAGCCATAAATCCCAGGTTCAAATCCTGACTCAAGTTTTTGTCAGGCATGTGACGCTGGGGTAGTTTTTAGCTGTCAAGTGATTGTAAAGATTAAATGAAGTAACAAACCTCTATGTGCCCTGTATGTTGGGGACACTCGAGACACTGGTTAGTTTTGTATCTCACTTGAGCTGACCTTGGGTGTTGAGGCTCTTCTATCAGAGTGAGTGTGGGAGTGTCCTTCCTATCGTGTGAACCTCTAAAACCATGTGGGAGGAGAGCTGTCAGGAGGAGATAGCCCAGGGCCTACCTCCAGTGCAGTTTCTGGAAAACTCCCATTATTGAGGCCAGAGGCTGAGGTCTGAGTATGCACAGCTCAAGGGACACTGTTGTACTGCAAACCTTCTTGATTCATTTGGTTTAGAGAATGTGCTTTACTAAGAAGTTAAGGGAGGAAATAACTTAAATCCAGTTTTGCAGTGAAGAAAATCTATATCCACCACCACCTTTTGAATGTCATTGGGGGTGGGGGTGCAAAAAAAAATGTAGCCTAGCCCCTTGACAAAGAACTCTGATAAAGTTCTCAACTCTATCAGATCCAACAGGCTTTTGCATAACTAACATTTCGAAACATCCACTTTAGGATCCTGAAGTGAAATTCATAGATAACGTACATAGACACACACGATTTCAAAGGAGATGCAATGATCTAATGTAAATGAGGGATGAAGAAAAAAGATACATATCAATATGGAAATGCTCAAGCGTAAGTACATAAAAGACATAATGGAGCAGTTAGATGCTTGCACCTAAACATAGAATCATCTTGAATGTGACCACTGCGTCACCTTGTCTTGGCAGCTCAAAAACCATGATGGACTGCCGTCAGTCATGTGACTTTCTGAAATTGGTGAACAACTCAGTAAAATTTCAAATGAAACAAGTGTAATCTTTTTTTATTTACTCAGTTGTGATCCTGGAAATTTTAAGTATATACACAAACAAAACAAAATAAAAACCAACCTGTGTTTTATACATAAAATCAAGTTACACTCTAGGCTCAGATAACAACAAATAGGTTTTTCCACCTACATAAATGTCCAGCAGGATTTATTTTGTTACATGAAGCAATTCTTGTTGAGATTCTCACTCTGCATGATGCCTTCTGCATGCGACATACCAGAAAGCCCCAGTCATGGCGACGACCATACGTGACTCCACGACTTACCAAGTTCACCCTCCGAGAACTGCTGACATAGACAGAAATGGCTTGGGGGCTGTGGAGTGAAACCTAAACATTGAAGGACAGATTGGATTTCCTCTTTTCCCCCCTCCGTCCCCTTTTTCCCTCCTTCCCTACTAAAAAGTAGTTATTTTATTGAACCCCTACTGTATGCTCT